TTTACTGTTAAATCTTATAGTGTCAAATTAACTTAATGTCAAATTAACCTAATGTGAGCCGCCACTGCTCCTACTCAATAATATCGTTATTTTTTACTAAAACAAAAATTATATTTGACACTATACAGTATCAATTTAACATTATACAGTGTCAAAAATTATCATTTTAGTAAAAAATAACGATATATTTAGTAGAAGTAGTGGCGACTCACATTAGATTAAATTTGACACTATACACGGAGAAAATTTTATATTAAGTTTTAATACAATTTAAAATTACACTTTACTGTGTCTTGTATTTTCGATGGACTCTCACAACATGATTCCGACTTAACTTTTACTATGGTAATTTTTATCACATAAATAAAGTAATTATTTTGTTAAGCCATATTCTAACATGAAAACAGTTAATTTTTACTATGGTACGTAAACAAAATTTGTTAGATATATTTGATTTTGTAATAAAAAATTTTTACTGAAAAAGTGTAAAAATTACGTTATAATATTGTTTTTAAAAAAATAACTATAGCATTTAAACTTATAATTTACATGAAGACCGCAGCTACTACCACATTATAGTAATTTTAAATATAAAATTTTCTCCGTGTAGATTTAATAGTATTGGACCGTATATTTTATAACATTGTAAAACAAACAATGTCGAAGATTTATTTTTGGTAAACTGTAACAAATGCTTATAGTCTTACTTTGAAATATAAAAATTTATTAATTAAATAAATTAAATATATCAAATGAAATAAAATTAAAATGTATTAATTAATTGTATTAACTAAATTAAAAAAATTAAATGTATTAAAATTAAAATGTATTAATTAATTGTATTAACTAAATTTAAAAAATTTTATAATTATTGAATCGCGGTTGCTTACAAAAATAGTCTTACGAATTTTTCATTTTACATTGATTATTCACAAATTATAAGTTGAATTAGTAGCTTATTATGCATCTCTGTGGTGATTACTTAAGATTAATGATTATTTTTTTACTTATAATTACTTTATTATATCAATATTTCTTTCTATATATTAAAATTATTTTTCACGAAAAAGTACCGATAATGTGTCCTCCATAGTCGACGAACGAAACACATCTTGCCCTATCACTCGAAACTTTATACAGCTCACTTAAAGATTGCTTCAAACGGCCCGAAAATCGGATGCAAAATGCGCATACGATCTCACAAGATTGTGATGTAACGGAGCGCAACGTTCTTTCGAAACAGTAAAGGGAACCCTCATGGACCACGGGTGAATGCTGCTGAATCGGCGAGTGACAAGAGGCACTCTCCTCCACTTTTCCTTCCCGTCGTGATACCGGCCTCGCTTTATGCCTTAAACCGAACTCCAAACGTGCTCGTCGTTTACTCCTCTCTTTTGCAACTTTATTATATTACTTATCGTGTTTCGAGCTTCACAGCAAAAATTAAAATTAATGCGGCGAGTTGATATAATGTTAGACGTCAATATAATTTTGAAAAGTCATTGAACGTTAAATATATCATATACACCTGTCGTTTCGCATATGGAGCTAAAATTCGGAAATTAAAAGTTAATGTATCAAGCTTATCTCGAATATAATCTCGTTGAAAAATATTCGAACGTATATTCAGGATATAATTTCTGATTACGTGTATTAATCGATTATTATGCTTTTTTATTAAACTGACACGCGGATTTGAAAAATATTTTAAAGAACTGGAAAGAATACGGGCGTTAGAAGTCAGGCGCAGCATACAAGATATTTTTCTTATGAAGCTTGAAACTTCTTTATTCAACAAACGTGCTAAAGCTTAGCTACGCTTTAGCGCGTTTGTTGAATAAAGACGTTTCAAGCTTTACAAGTATATTATTTGCGCGACGTCTTCTGCGCCTGACTTCTAACGCGCGTATTCTTCCCAATTCTTTGATTTATAAGGAGTCTTGGTTAGTTTGATTTGTTACACGGATTTAAAATATTTTATATAATTTGCAGAAGATTTCAAAAGATATCGCGAGAGCAACAAGATCTTATTACACTTATGATTAGTGGACGAATATCCTCTCGCGTGTGTTGCGAGCCGCGGTTTATCGATAGCGGATATAGTCCGGTCCTCGCGCCGGAACAAAGTTCTGGCACGCGGACGATGCTATTTCGCGGTGGCTATGTCGGAAGGGCGACAGGGAATGTGGGCATAAGAGCTGAGAGAGAACGCAGCATGTCCTAGATAACTCCTTGTAACATCTTTGTAGCGTTAACGTCATTATTATGTCACGTTATACCGCTCGAGAAGGAAAGCCTCGAATACCGCGGGCATATTTTCGAAACGCGTTATCGACTTTCACTCGACGTGACAAAATGTTTTGAAATTTTATTAAAAATATTAACACTTAATTATATATAAAAATAGATATATATAAATATATATTTGGTGTTATTTCAGCATACAAGATATTTTTCTTTTTTATAAAAATATAGTTTAAAAGCAGAAAATACATGTATATCATATAGTTAATATAAATAAATATGAATATAGATTCATGTCGTCAACTAGTACTTAAAAAATTAGAAATATTAAATTAGATATCTCTAATAACACACTTTATCCGGGATACATCCTGGAGATGTCCTTAGGATGTTCAAAGGACATACGGACGTTCTTCGGATGTCCCCAGGGCATTCCATGGAGGTCTGTGCTGTTAGGGATTGCACGTGTTGTTAATTATGCAAGAGGATTGCTCTCGTTGCAACGAAAGCGTTATAAAAATTTGAAACTCAGGATCTGTTGGTAGTATTAACTATAGGTCCTCTTTAGACTTAAAATGCGAGTAATCGATACGGATTGAAATGCATCTCTCTCGGTAGGACAGAATATCAACTTTAAAATCAAATGGAACATCTACGGTGAACAATTCCATTCACACATCCATGAAGTGCACTCATGTTCGTTAAATACTTAATGAATTTCAATTATCGACATTTAGGACCCATTCATAACGTTAAATATAATTTGACAGACATCGACATCTAATAAGATATATTACGTCCTATTTATAATTTTTATCACGTCTTCCTAATCTATTTGTGTATCTATTTAAATTATCGTATTTCGATTTACTGATTCTTAGTTATCATAAAAAGAGTATATTGTTATAAATCTTCGTATTATTTCATTTAAATTATTTCTAATTTATTCGCGATTTCGATACAATTAATAATTGAGTTAAAAGATTCAATTATTAAAGCAGTGATAAAATGTACTTTAATTTTTAATTTAATGATTTTGATTAAGATTAGATTATACATAATTTACATTGAGTTCATTAATAATCTGCATGATGTATCGAATGATTGTCATACAGTCGAGAAAATTTCTTATTAGGGGAAACCGGGGGATACAAAAGTAACACGGGACAATAGTAACATCAATATTTCTTAAACTATAACGTATATATGTACATAGTCGTGTAGTAAAATTCTATTAACAGATAGGCATTAAATCGTTCGTTACATGCTGATTTTCGCGGAACGTGCACGAGTGCAGAAGCAGAAATTACTTTTTTCACGCATAAAGTAACTTTTATTGCATGCACAAAATTCAAAATATTTTTTTTCTTTATAACAAAGATATAATGTATTTTAATATGTTTTAATGATTATCTATGTTGATGTTTTTCACATTTGAGTTGATTTTTTTATCTAGGTTTTTATTTAAAAAATTTACTATGAATAATAAAATACCATTAGGGGGTAATAGTAACATCGATGCCTGGGGTCAGTTATTCAATTTTATATTGTAGAATCTGGATTTTGTAAGAAGGACTGTTACTTCGGTTTACTTAATAGCATTATCAGTAACTTTTTTATATTTGGCAAATACTTTTTGTAATCGAACCATGGCGTATATCCAGGATTTATTTTTTGACAACTACATCTATTCATTGTTGGATACTCAGCGATATTTGAATGTTTGGCGTAAATCCAGGATCTACCTTCCGTCGACTACATATAACTGAAATCAGGCCTGAACAACGAAAGTCTATTTTTAATAATTTTTATTATACTTCTATAATTAGTGATCTATGTTAATCTATTGTAGTCAACAGCTTTCATATACATACTTGTTTATAACTTTGAAAATGAAGGTGGTCGAAATGTTAGTTGATGTAGACATATTTTTAGTTTGATGTAGACATATTTTTATTTTGTTTTTATTTTTATTTTATTTAATGTCAACTGTATCATATGTATATTAAAATTTTTGTTTTGGCTCATAGCTCTTCTGATTTATTTTGTTTTATTTGAATTATTTGAGCCTTTCTTTATTATGTATTTTTAACATTAAAATTTTTGTTTTGGCTCATAGCTCTTCTGATTAATTTTGTTTTATTTGAATTATTTGAGCCTTTCTTTATTATGTATTTTTATTAATAAAACCAATAAAATAATCATTATTTTATTTATAAATGGTATGGTATAATTGTCCCTATCTACTGTTACAATCGTCCCAGGGGTTGGGACGATTGTAACAAAATTCCTCATAGTATTTAAACAAACATAACTTTTTTCTAGTTACATTGAAAAATTGACAAGAAGTTTAGTTACAAAGAAAATTTTGTAGCTAAATAAATTCTACATCTAAAGGTATATACTTTTTTTAATATAAATATTATATTTTAACTGTTATAACACTTAAAAGTCAAAATGTTACTTTTGTCCCCGGTCTCCCCTACTGTCACTTTAAATAACTTAGAGAATTCGCTTCATTTGTTAACTAATTTAATTATCAAACTGCCAGTGTAATTTTATTATTAATTAGCAAGATATTCGAGGATACAATTGTTCCGCAATGAGCCATTTACTTTTAGACCGAAGAATAGACTTTCATCTAGAATAAACTTTCGTTAGAAAATACGAATTTCAAATTTTGTAGGAAAACTTGTCGCTACATAATTATCTCTATACAAACAGAATATTGCACGGAATTCATCGCCAGTGGAATAATGAACGTACTTCTGTGTTATATGTATAGTTTCGTCATTCTCGTGCCACTCACTATGGATAAGTATCATTATTATGCATTCGAAACCAACACGACATCAGACATCGCAACGATGCCGTCATCAGAATCGTTGGAGTCGACGTTGACGATCGGTAGCAGGATGCCACGAGCTACGCTGAACGATATTGTCTCAAAGAATATCACAATGGTCCTCGAAAATCTACTAATGAATTATGAAAACAGTCAGTTGCCCACGCATGGTAAAGGTAAGAAAAATAAGGATTAGTGCATTGAAATAAAGATTGGTATTTGTAAATATAATTACATATTATTATAATTATAATTATTACTGACATAATATTATTAAAAATAACTATATGTATAATTCTGGGAACAAATGTACATATAGTGACAACCAAAAATTACTATAAAATTGTAGTAATCGGAATCATTTTTGTGGTAATTTTAACCATTTTTATGGCTATAATAACTATAACTATGTGTGTGGTCAATATTAAAAATCTTTATTTTAGACCGCATATGTGAGAACACAATTAATACTAGAAATTTAAAAATGCCTATTACGATCGAAGCTGGATCTTCATTGCTTTAAATAATTCAAACTTGAATTACTAATGTATACTATATATGTACTTGCATATATATCATATTGTGGTTTTGAAATGCGCGCCGAATTGTTTTTCCGGACTATAAACGCAATTAAAACTACTCTAGTAATCGCAAATTAAATATAATTATGATCATTTTAGATTGCCAACTATATATATTTGTTGCTAGAATCTATCTATATGATTGTCTAGACTATCTATATGATTGTTATTAATAATATTATAGCAATAATAATCATAATAATCATATAATAATACATAATTATAATTACAAATACCCAACAATTTTTCTCTTAGTGTAAAAACGAGTGTTTTCACTAATATAATTACTATTTAATGAATTTCTGCTATCCGGAAGTTATAAAAAATATAAATATATTGGATGATATCGTATTCGTAGAAAGTTTTTCTTTCTAGAAACTCATATATTCGCATCATGTAAGAGAATAAACAAAATTTCTTCTCTGCAAATTTATATATGTATTTTGTAGTTTTTTTATACTATAGATAGAGATGCACAAATTTTTATCTTTTCACTACTGTGTTTTATAATGTTCTCACTAAAAATGTAAAGTGAAAACAAGATGAAATCTGTGCAAAACTGTTTTTTGTTGTTCGAAGTGTACTCATAAAAAAACATGCTATATTCAAATATTAATTATTTATTTCAAGTATTTCAAAAGTTCATATATTCACAAATATGCCTAAGTTTATCACAAGCATCAAATTCACGAGACAGAAAGAAAAAGATAGAGACATTATTTAGTGTGATGTATTTAGTCAAATGCTCATAATATTTTAAAGAAAAGACATGCGCGTATGATATATAAATGACACAATCATATGTATTAAGAGTAATATTTAATGATTAATTTGAAAAAGATTAATTTTTATAAATGACATTAGAACATCAGATACAACATAAAATACATACAAACGTAACAAGCGTATGCATGCATTTAATATCGATATTAATTTTATGAATAAAAGCTATATTATGCTGCGGTTAGATACTCTACACTGAAACTGTTTCATGATGCATTATGTCCTACACCTGCACTAATCGCAACGGAAAATAATATCGGATATAATTGAATTCCGGAGAGCTGAGAAAAATCGTACACGGTGGCCTAACCGCTTAATTATCGATAACTAAAGCCCTAGATTATAATGCCAAATTAATGCAACGGTTTGTAGCATATTAAAATTAAATTAAAAAATGATATGTTTAAACACATATCCTAATTATCCGAACAAATCCGATCATCGACTTATAATTGCCGTCATTTTGGTATCCTTTTTAATTTGTTAAAGCTAAATATTTTAAACTTTTTCCGACATACTGATAATAACATTTGATAAATCTTATGTAGGCAATTTTTCGCATTTTTTCAGGCGTGCCCACAGTGGTCAAAACCAATATTCTAATTAGAAGTATGGGTCCAGTGTCTGAACTTGATATGGTGAGATTCGAAATTTCTCAGTAAAGGAGATGCACCAGCAAATGTACTTTTTCTATTTTCCTTCTTTTTTCTTCCTTTTTTTTTATCTCTGCGATATCATGAAATATTTTAAATACTTACGTCAATTTCTAATTATTGTATCACAAATCGGCCATTTATTGCAGGAATAATAATCGCTCTAATTGGTCTTATTATTTTAACATTTTTATTAATTTATGTTACCGCAAAGTTGATATAAAAAATGCTCGGAAGAAATTTAAGCCTAATATCAGAAATATAATATATTTATATTGGAATCAAACTTGAACTATATGTATATATAGCAATAACTTTTAATCGGTCGTTTACTATAGTGAGAATGCTATTGCTAGTAGTAAGCAGCTTTAATCAATTTTTGCCTTATTTACTTTTAAATCTGTTTGAAATCTCACTTGGTGCAGTCTTAAAAATTCTTCCATCAGGATTACTCGATGGACTGCTACTTTCGGCAATCGTGGCGCGACTCACGTTTAAGCTTTCTGGGCCCGATCAAGTCCCTCAGCCTCAGTATCAAAATGCTCGAAAGGATTTGGCGTCCCGATACATACTTCTACAATGGCAAGCATAGTTACGTGCACACGATCACTGTGCCGAACAAATTGCTAAGGATCTCCCAGGACGGCGATATATTGTACTCCATGAGGTTTGTTCGCGCGTGAATTTACGCACTGTGTGGCAAATCGAATCCGATTTCGAATCCGATATCTATACGAGATATGTATTCTCGGACTTCTTTTACTAACGTCAATGTTGTATAGACATTCATGGAAGAAACATATAAGCAATCGACGGATGAAGAAGTTTAATTCTGTGATTTGTAATGTATTCTATCGCAAAATATCATGTGGAAATATTAGCACTGCTGCTCTCACAAAGTAATTACAATAGATGTAAATTTTTGAGAACCAATCTGTATACGACATAAAAGGAAAATAATGTAATGTAAAATGGAATTAGATGTAAAATGATAAAATTTTAGACGTACATATTAATATCACAGTTTTATTTATGAAATAATTGAAAGGTAATGTAGAACTAAGTAGAAAAATTAGATATAAATATTTGATATCATAATCTATTTTCGTTCATGATTCTTTTTTAATGCAGGCTCACTATTAAAGCTAAATGTCCAATGGAGCTAAGGAATTTCCCTATGGATCGACAGTTTTGCCCGTTAATAATGGGAAGCTGTATGTATTGATTTTTTATAATAACTACATAGTAATATTATACCTTAGCAAGCTAAGTGCCACAATATAAAAAAATTAATTTTTAAAGTAAGAAAAATGTGTAAAGAAAATTTTTTAATTGTAAAATTAAATTAAAGAGTCGATATGTTAAAACAAAATTATATTATGTAATTTCTTTTACTCCGCAAAACAAGAAATTACATGAATTTTTATAATTCTAATTTTCACAATTTTTTATTTTATGTTGCACTTATTGACTTGAGCACAATCGTACCATACTTTTGTTTTTACGATATAATATAAAATCTGTATTCCATCTTCTTTTCGGCTATTATTAATTTAATGAGTCGCAGCTCTTTATCGCTCTTTTATTGCAAGATTATTTGAAAATGCAGTGCTTGGATTATTTCTAGTGATTATTTAGAAATACAATGTTTCTTATTGCACATCAATTGAGACTCAAACCAACAGAGATGCAATTCGTAAGAAAACCAGAACAAATAATATTTCATTTGTACGTCCTCGCACGCTACGTTATGCTGTTCCTCACATGCATAACGTCCATCGATATTATTCTTCGGCGAGTGTTCGCAATCGTCCATGTCGAAGTTATGATCGCAATAAATTCGATATTCCTTTACGTTTCGGCTTTACGGTACACAGCAGCTCCGTTTTCTATCATAACAGATGGCATCATGGCCTAAGATGTAGAATAATATCAAAATTTATTATCATAAGCATGCACTAGTGACGGAACTCTCCTCGAATCAAGATGCATGATTTAAGATTAGTCATTTGTATTCGGCTAAAGAAATATCCGGGTAGAATGCGGCATAATATATCTACATAAAAAAATTGTTTGATTGAATTAATTAGAATTCTGGTCGAAAATGAACAATCCAGAATTCTAATTAAATTTACAAGATTTTTGATTAAATCTATTAAAATTCTAGTTGAAATAACCAACATTTAATAAAAAATCTAGTAGATTTAACAAAAATTCTGGATCTTTTATTTTCCACCAGAATTCCAGTTAATTCAACCAAGTACTTTTTTCCATTTCGATGAATTCCTGAATGTTTAGGATTGACATTAATCGAAAGATAAATGTAAGAAAAAGAAAAATACATCTCTCTTGAATAATTAATTAATTATTAAATTATCCATCTATTGGATGTTCATAGAATTTATAATAGAATATCCCTCGGATATAAATAATTCAATTAAAGAGGAAATAAATAATCATTATAGGATGTCATTGAAGTACGATGTATCTTCAATATTTCTCTGAAATGCTTCTAGTATTTTATTAGATAATTATTTTATTTCTTTTCATGTTATATAATATTGTTACGTCTCTCTGTTTGTTAGATGCGTATACATCAGGACAGCTGGTTTACGAATGGCAGGAAGGTTTATCGGTGAATTTTATTCCCGGAATGGCACTGTCACAATTCGATTTAATGGGTTCGCCGTACAGAAATCTCACGTTTTTCCGTCGCGAGGGCGAGTTCTCGGTACTGCAAGTATCTTTTAACTTGCAACGCCACACCGGATACTTTCTCATACAAGTAAGCGTTCGTAAATCATAGTGCTTATTGCAAATGATAAATAAATGTCATTTTTATGCAGAATAACAAAAAGACTTTCTTACATCAACAGGTTTATGTGCCGTGCGTTTTAATAGTCGTGCTGAGTTGGGTATCCTTTTGGATTCATCGTGAAGCGACGAGCGATCGAGTGGGTTTAGGTACTTACAATCATTTTGTAAGATTTTTATCGCTTTTCTTCACATTTTTATTGTTTTTTACATTTGTAATTTATTCTTTGAATATAAACAATCGTTATCGTAAAGAACATTCTATACTTGTTTAGCGCCTTTACCATTTTTTCTTCTCTTTACAAGCGTTGAAAATCTCATAAGCTCTAGGCACTATGTGTGCCTTCGGTACTTAAATAGAAAATCTAGCCCTACGTAGATAACACTGTATCATAAATTTTCCAGGTATCACTACCGTTTTAACATTATCGACGATAAGCCTCGATTCCAGAACGGATTTGCCGAAAGTTAGATACGCTACCGCTCTGGATTGGTTTCTACTGATGAGTTTCGGTTACTGCATCGCCACTCTCTTGGAGTTTGCCGGCGTTCATTACTTCACGAAGGTGATAATCACGATACTTTAAGTCTGTTTTCTGTGGCTGAATTAGTGTACACTTTTAGAATTTAAAATGAGATAGATATACGTTTGATATTTGTCGAAAGCGAGAAAGAGAATTCTAGAGCAGTCTAGTGCAAGAATAGAAAACAGACTATTTGTTATCTGTTCAATCGCTTCCTTGTATGGGGACTTTTAAAAAAAAGATATATGTTGGAAGTAACATGAAGTATTTTGGCAAAACCATTGCAATCTTTTAGGATCTCTTAAATGTGATTTTCAATATATTTTCTATATATTCAATATATTTTCTATATATACAGGGTGTTACAGATACATACTAGGCAGTACGACGGGTTGCACGGCAAACTTTGCATGGCCAAGCGTGGTTTAATAGACAATGACAGTGACTTTATACATTATAAAGTTTATACTACAAAATTTTATTATTTATATTATAAAGTTATGTTATAAAGTCACTGTCATTGTCTATTAAACCACGCTTGGCCATGCAAAGTTTGCCGCGCAACCCGTCGTACTGCCTAGTATGTATCTGTAACACCCTGTACATGAATATTAGAAAACGTAGTACCTTTGTTTAGAATTCCGATAGATTATTTAGGAAAAGCTTCTAGCTAGACCGCTCGATTCATTGTATATTATTTTTACTTTCGAGCGATCTTGTCATTGGAATGCGTACTTACCTACGTTATTTCCGCGTTCGAAAGTTTACGAAGAAAAATTGTAACCCCGGATCTACAATAGATTTTTTTTTAAGCCTTAAGTCGTAAGAAATGGACGAATCACAATCGATTATTCTTCTCGCATTCGGCTGTAATTAACCAGTTTTTTACTGCTTAAGACTTAATCATCTGAACCCGGTCAACCTGCTCTCCTGTCCCGACGACCGGCGAATCAAATACAATCAGTGTAAAAAAAATTTGTACAAAAAAAAAATCTTATTTGTAGAAAATAAACATTAATTCGCAATTTTATACAATTAATACATTCTGTTCTAACATAATCAAACGAGCTTTGCATATATTCCTGATTTTAGGAACTAAATTTCTCAACTGTACGAATACTTTTTGAGCAGCCAAACAATACAATTTTTATCAAAACATAAAAAGGCTAAGGAGCCAAGCTTGTTGTTTTTGTGCTATACAATATTTATTGTATATTCATTGTGGAATAACAATTATAAATACATATAAACGTTTCGACCTTTTTACATCAGGTCATCATCAGTGTAATAAAATTATCGCTACCGGTTTACATTTTCGATACAATTTTTAATTTTCGCTTATTTTTTAGATGATATATTTTCTATAATTGATACATCTTTTTGGTATATATAATTTTAAGAAACATACAGTCTATATTATTCTTTATAAATAAATTGTTAATTATTTAGCAAGAAATGATCGTCAATTAAACGTCGAATCGACATCAAATTGATGCTGAAATCATCGTATCGATATCGATTTGACATCAATTCGATGACTCATTTCTCGCTGGATAATATTTACTTAATAAAGTTTTTTTAAAAAAATATTTCCTCTATGTACTTTTTGCACTCATTCTAAATATTCTTTGTTGTTGCTACGCGAGATCGAAGGCTCGCGGCTAATAACGACCTTCATATGTTTACATGATGTGTTTAAGACAATGTTGTAGCTCAATATGTTTAAAAAAAATTACTGTGTTCGTGGAAAATTATTCAAATAATATTTAAAATTATTTTTGCAACTTTAATTAAAAATATGCATAGAAAGAAAGATATAATTTGAATCAATAGTTCAATCTAAATTTGAACAATTTTCAGGTTGGTAGCGGTGAGATTCCGTTGGATGACGATGAATGGGAAGAATGGAAGGAAATCACTAGCGAGGAATTCGAGGATACATTTCACTCGATGATTTCTTGCAGTCCTCAGGCAGTTCATCCAGAAATTATCGATACGAGTACTAGAAAGCGTGGTTCTCTCATATCCGCACTATACAATGTTAGTTCGAGAAAGTAATACAAAAAATTTTACGGCGATTTAGAACCCAGAGTAAAAAGTAGAAGTTTTTAAAAAATAATTAATATAAAATTTGAAAATTTTCGTTTAGTCTGTAAAATTGTGTTATTAAATATTGATATGTCTTTCTTTTAT